CACGGGCTTCTTCTACTCAACTCCGCGGCACAACAAGAAAGTTGTAGCATTCTTCGCTGCAGTCGTCGCAGAGGTCGATCGGCAGCGCGAGGAATCTTACCGGAAGCATGGAGAACGTTTAGGAGCAGACCAGCCAATCTTTTGGCAGGTCGTCCAGCTTCTGCGTTCGACCGGTGGCAAAGTTGGACCGGGGGGTTTCAAATGTGTGAAGCTGTGCCAGCAGAGCCCGACCTGCCAAGCTCCCTTGGAAGACACTTTGCAGTACTGCTCCATGAATGCCTTCATGCACCCCACCGGCTGGGAGGAACCACCGCCGGAGCGTGTCACCTACCACGCAAACTATGCTGCCAACAACGACAAGATCGCAAAGCTGGAGAAAGCCGGGCTTTGGGGTGCTTGGTCAGAGAAAGCTGGGCGTTGCCATGTGCCTTGCCTTCAAGCTGAAACATTTACAGAAGGACAGTGCGGATCGTGGGCTGGGGACCCCTGCCAAAGCATCTGAACAGCTTCATACCAAGTAGATACTAAGTAGATACGAAGGACGTATCCCCTCCAAAGCCACTTGCCTTCCTCCATTCGAGAGCCTGGCTCAGGCTGCCAGTCCTTCAACCTCCCAGCTGGCATCTTCGCCTTCGCTACCCCGGTCTTCTCCTGACATGTCCCCGGCGAGACTTGGACAGACACCAGCACTTCTTTGGCGAACAGCTACTGTATTGGCTCTGCAAGGGTGGATGACATGCGATGCCATGCCATGACACATGCTCGTATATGTCGCAAAATGTGCAAATAATTCCCCATGAGATGCAGGAAGCATCGAATTTTTAATCCGGACGCAGAACCCGAGCTTGTGAGGCTAGACTGCCTGCGGCGCACTACACCTTCACTTCAAGAACTGCAATATCCCAGCGACGCTGAGTCTCACTTCCAGGAGATACGACAGGCAGACGTAGGGGGACCACCAGAGTGTGTCACAGGCCTTTGCACAATGTCCAGCAGACATACGGGCAATGAAGGCACTAGGACAATGGTTTGACTTCGCGGCGAAGAAGTTCATGGCAGACATGAAGAATCCGTACCACTGCGCTTCACTGAGCTCGGGGTTGCAAGGCAGTCGTTCGATGCCACTAGTCACTACAAGTAGTCACTAGAGCATCTAGCGGCTTGACACTGCAAGCAGTTAAGGTGGTGAAGGCTACTGCGGGCCGTGGATCGAAAATCGTTGGATTTCGCACTTTCTTGAAGGACTGGCCGCCTTTGCTGTGCGAACATGCGACTGCAGAACTTGCTCTTGCCTAAATACCAGGTTGGGACAAGCGGCAAGCAGGCATGCAGCTGTCCGACATGTTCGGGCAACTTGATCGCAGATTGCCCTGCACAGATTACGTTCCTCGACCCGTGACCGATGGGAACCACATAGGTAGCAGGCCAATGAATTGAGGCCAGCTTGTTTTCTTCAGCACAGAAACACAAGTTGGGTGTGTCTTGAGGCGCAGCCAACAGACACTGAACACTTCAGCATGTTTCATTTTGTTGCGGTGCATACGCTTGGGAAATTTTGCAGGCCGGGTGTCTCAGCGTCGCGCCGCCCTGTCGTCTCGGAAGCTGTAAGAGAGTCAGAATCATAAGCAAAGAAGAGAAAGTTCGGCTGTGCCATTGAGGGGAGATGTCGCGTCTGCATCAGTTTGCTTTGTTGTGGAGGGCGCGGATCTGCAAGATGGTCCGGAGTTTTGTTTGTGAGGAATGTGGCATTGCGGTCAGGCCGTACATTCCCATCTTCATGACCTATGTGGACCTGTGGGTTGCAAACGTCTTTGAGTATGTGTCTTGGCGGCAGCTTCAGGAGCATTCTGGATGTTGCAGTGTCTGCACTGAATTACGCTCAGAGAGGAAGCGATGATAGCAAAGCTGAAGGAGGTGGTGAGGCCAGTGTGCATCGTGTGAAGAGGAGGGAAAGCAGCGCAGTGAGCAGTGCCATCCACCTACAATCACATCAGGCCGAGTGTCGCCTACATCACGGTGGTGCAGCATGATACTGGCATGGTATCAAGCAGAGCACCTCGACTGCCCATCACTGGGCCACGTCATAGCGCGTCATTTCCGCATCCGTGGGTCTGGTCGGCATTCTCGTGGTTGTCTTTCGCGGCCGAGTCCGTTCCGCGACCGAACCATCTTGCCGTGCCTTCATTGCTGCATTGCTGCCCCTGTCCCCTTCCGAACTTCATGTCCTCTATCGTGTCGCTGGGGTCGATAGCCTCACAAAGTGTTATGGACAGTCTTATGTTAAGATGTTGGAAGCATTGTTGATCTCGATGAGTGTTGAGGACAAGATTGTCAACCTCATGAAAGAGATTCCAAATGCCGCGCCCTTGAGGTCGCTAGAAAGAATTCGTTGGAAGCGGCAGAGCAACGGCTGAAATTGGTCAACAGCCCTTGTAACTACCTTGCGATGGCATGTCAATTTTGTAGCCTCGAGGTCCTCGTGTTGAGTGCGGGTGGCTATGGCCACGTTCCGATTCCACTCTTCAAGCAGCCAGAGGAGAGTCTCACTGACGCCTTGCGAAAGGCATGTCGTCTGGCCGCGTCAGGAACTGCTTGGCAAGCGTTTCTTCAAGAGTATGGCCAGCAGAGAGCTGCTGACATCATACATGGGCAAGTCTCTTACGAGATGTTCTTTGTGAGTCCCGTGTGCATCATACTTGCTGCTGTATGCCCAGGTTCGGACACGAACGCACCCAAGGACAGCATCGCAAAAGCCAGCGTTCCCAGTCTCCATCCCAGAATGTACACAAAGACGATTCCTGCACAGGACATGCGGAAGAAAATGATCAAGTTGGTCAACAAAGAAGCCGAGCTGATGGGTGTGAAGGCAGTGAGCCTTCGAGTGGTCGAAGGGCGAAGCGAGCTATGCCATGCTATGCAGCTATGGGAGGTGAAGACTGGCTTCGGCAGCGCTGATGAGTGGCACCAGACCGCCGGCAACTCCAAGGCGGCTCGGCTGAAGAGCTGCGAGCTGCGAAGAGCTGCGAAGAACATAACAAACAGCGCACGAAGAGGTTTCTCCGTTTCTTCCTTCTGTCATCGAGGTCAGCCTGTGCCCGCGAGGCTATGGCCGGACGGCCTTCCATCTGTTCGAGATCTTACAGTGGCCTGGCCGCCACACCCGTAATTACTTGCACCAAGGTGATAGTTTCAGCTTTAATCTGGTTTTCAAGGCCTTGACTTCGCGTGCGTTAAGGCTTGGACTCATTCCGATCCACGCTCGGCACCTGGAGATCCCGCTCACCGACTTTCTGCTGGAACGATTCTTCTTGCACAGGTTTACCTCGACATTCCGTGGATACCCTACGCAGGCCGCGTCGCTTGAAGCAGGCTATGACGGCTATGAAAGTGGCACCTTCTGTCAGACCTATACACCAGCATCGGCTTCTCCACAGATGTGAAGGGACTTCCGCATGTCATGAAGACCGTGCAGGGCCTTCTCCTAAGGTGCTCTGTGGCCTCTGCCAACGGTGGCTGCTTGTGTCGCTGTTGAGGTATGAGTGTTGAGACGCTTGAGAGCATGGAGGCGCAAGTGCAAACCAGTGAGTGCAGAGGTCCTCTGAAGATCTTTGCCACTTTCAGGCGAAGATTCGATCATTGAGGCCGGCAGTGTGCGGCGCCGCGGCTCAAGCTGTTGCCCAAATCGGCTTCCGAGTAAGGTCAAGCCACTTCACTGACGAAGGGCTGCTGGCTCAAATATCGCATCAGCCTCAGCTAGGTGCTTTTGCCGACGACCTTCTGTGCATCACAGCTTCTGAGGCTGTTCATGACCAGTGCAGCCGGTGATCTGAGATGCCAGAAGCTTCCAAGCACGCTCAATGGATGAAGCTGAAAAGACTTGCAGGTCTCGTTTCTCATCTCCAGTTGTTTCGGTGCAAGCGCCACAACAGTTTAACAGCCTGCAGCTGCACGTGTTCGTGAATTTCCCTCATCCTTGATTAGTGCAGTGAGGACAGAAGATGCGCTGTCACTGATCGAAGGCTCGAGGCCGAAAGACTCTTGCGGCCAGGAAATCAAGAAATTGCCACAGGCGGGCCCAGAAATCCCACTGCGCCACGCCTGCAGGCAACCAATTGCAGCCTAGCTTACTGCAGCTGCCACTGGTTGGACGTAAAACTCCGACCTGGTGTAGCTTCTGCGAACCGTCCTTACGTCTTGAGTGAAGATAGGGATCCCAACATGTTTAGTCTGCCATGTCTGTTCCATGGAGTTTCGCAAACGGTAGCTGTTGATTCCTCGACCGGGACGTTGCAGTTTACAGAACATTTGGCCTGCTTTGGCCCGCCATGCTGCCACTATACGAGCCCTGGCCGCACTAGGTTGCATTGCTTCGAAGTGTGCTGCAGTTTGGCTGGCATCCCAAAATTGAGTCTAGGACATGCTGTTGGCCCATGCCTCAGAGCCCGTTTCGTTTCGTTAACCGCTTCGTTTGGAGCACGAGGTGGCGCTGGGTCGCATCTTCCTTGCCGTGGCCATGGCCGGTGCCCTCTTCGGCGTCTTCTGCGGCTTGGGCCGCTTGGCCTGAGAGCAGAATCGAGAACGAGTGAAAGCTCCCACTCCGCTCTCAGGCTACAAACAGCCCCTGTCAGATGCCGAGTCACCCTATGGCCTCCTCGACGACATCAGGCTGGACGTCTGTCAGCTCTGCTCGATGTACAAGTGTCTTCGTGTTGAAGCTTAATATCGAGGCTAGAGTTCGAGGCTAGAAGCGTAGTCTCCAAAGCCGCAGCCCCAAAGCAGCAGCAAAACCACCTGGCAACAGTGCTTGGCTTGCCATTTCACGGAACAGTGCTTCGGCACGCAGCCAGGCACCAGGATAATGAACATTGCGTTCCAACGAGCACTTGCAGCTGCAAAACACCTCAAGTTGAAAACTCGGTGAACACTCATCAAGGGTGCAAGCCATTACGTAGTTCATTGGAGAATTCAAAGATTCCGTAGATGTAGCCAGGGTTCAGGGTGGCCCTGACGTCAGCCTGCATGCTGAAGATCGCCAGCTTGATGCTGGCTGAGTCCACTCGGCCTGCACTTGGCCGCACGTGACTGCACAAGAGACTGCTGGTTTTAGCACTGCCTACAACAGTTGCACGAGGCTTGTAATTGCAACATCCACAACTACAGCAGCAACTTCCAATTCCTCAAAGCCAACGACAACAAATGCAGGAGAGGAACCGCGGGAGCGGGAGTGCGAGCGGGAGCGGGACAGGCGCGGAAAGGAGAAGGAGCAGCAGCAATCAAATGCTGTTGTGGGCATCTGCCTGGTAACCACCTGACATGGACGACTACATGGAACTGTGCATCACGGGAAGAGAGGCAGGCAATGTTCTCTGATCTTTTGCATGCCCGTTAAGTGAGACCAACAAGACAACCCGTATTGATTCCGAGAGGAGGAGGGGCCGGTTTGCCCTGTTTGAGCTGGCTTGCAATCCACGATAACCTGGCAACAGTCAAAGAGTGTGTGCCCCGTCGAAGGTTTTTGTCCAGCTTCGGCCGCGGACTTGTCTTCACTGCAAGGGGACAACGTGCATCAACGTGCAGCCAGTCGTTTCCGGCATCCTGGCTGAGGCTTGGGTGTGGGGATCTGCTGCTGGGCCGACAGCGGGAAGGCCATCGGGTTGCACTCAGAGTCGCTCTGCTGTGAGGGCAGGTCGCTTCGAGTGCACATGATGATAAAGATGAAAAGCGTCTTCTTAGATTCACGCTTCAATCTCGAAACGGCGGTGACAGAGACGCGTTTGAATTTGACAGGCTCTCTCGCCGCAGCAGTGTATCGCCTCGCAGATTGGCTTCATGCTGTGAAGGCTGGTGCGGAAGGATTTTCGTGACGCTTGAAGGCTTCAGCGGTGATCTTGTGCCTTTAGGGCTCATGCGCTAGCTGCAGGTAGCCAGGTAGCAGCTTTTGTTTGGTCGCAATCTCCAAGCTGTGGCGACAGTCTGGTACCTGTTGCAAGACGGGATAGTGACGGATAGTGCGTCTTTCTATAATCATGCACTTGCTAAGTTGGCACCGCAGTATCGAGTCTGTGAAGCAGGCCATGGGCAACCCGTCTGCGTTGCAGTGAGTTGCAGGACTGTGGAGAAGGCTCGGTCGGACATGCCAGGAAAGCGTCAGCACCTTCTGTGAAGTGCATGACCCGAAGCCAGCCAGGTGCTTGAGGGAGGAGAGCCTTCGTGAGATTGGAATTATCCTGAAGATGGTAGAGATCAGCAGCGAGACCTTTGCATGCCTCATGCTGGAGAAGTTGCGTGGGTTCGTACGGGACCCCCTCTTCCCCAGAGGCATGCAGGATGATCTAGGTGAGCAGCAACAGCCTCTTTAAACTGACCATTTCCGACTTGCAGCCCTGTTGTAACCGTAGCTATGCAAGCATGTCGGTTCATAAGCTATGTCAGAAAGCATGGTTCGACTGGGGATGAAGCTTGAACTATCGTGTCGACAATCGTTGCGCAACTGCTCAAGTTGTGCAGCGGCTGGCCGACGTATACTTCATCTGTATAGCAAATTCAGTGGATCAGACATGGATGAGCAATGTAGCCATCAAGCCAAGTTTGAGAGCGCAATTCGCACGAAAGCTCACTCCATACTGAGCCCAGTTTCACGGAAACCAGAAGAGTCGATGAGCTCAACCGTTCGATTCTGGATTGCTTCGTGCCAAGCTTGAGAGTTTGCTGGCGCCGGCTGCGCCAGACCCGTGCCGCGGGCCTTTTGATAGCAGTGTCATTAGCGGTGCTGCATTGATTTGTTGGTCGGGGTGTGGGGGAGGGACATCACGCTGTTCTGGCTAGAGAAGTACACCAAGACACCAGTCAAGTATTTAGGTATTGTATGGAGGTTTGTTCGTAAAGGATCGAAGCTAATTAGATCTTTACACATCTGCAGATCTTGCAGCAGATGTGGCCGACACTGCTGCAGCACTAGTAGGAGACTCCAGCGTGGTGAAAAGACTGTCCATGACTGTGGGACGATGCTTAAACGACCTGCTTGACATGCTTGCCGGCTCACCTGCATGTGTGTTTGCGGTCCGAAGCTCTAGAAGAGCAATGCTGCGGGTCCAGCGCGGGACCTGTGAATGTGCAGCATATCCGCGGCAGCTGGAAAATGGCGGCATCCGAGGTGGAATTCGTTGCACATGCCATCCAACTGCCACAGTTGTGCGAAGACCGTCGACCGTGGAATGCACAGTCTCAAGCAAGTTTGTCTCAGGAAGAAGCTGGAACTGCCTCCTCAGAACTACTGGTCCGCCTCTCAATTCAAGTGTCTTTTCAATCGGCTCCGTGCAGAGCTTGGAACGCTTTTGCTGCAGGCATGGAAGGAGCTTTGTCGAGCGGGCTTTGACCCGAGCACTTACTTGCGGACACGGTTTTGGTGCGGTTTGAGAAGCTTGTGTGTACGTCGGGCAGCTGCAGTACTGCTGCAGCTGCAGTAGTTTAAATTCGCAGAACCCGTATAATATGTGGTGTGCTGGCAGCACGGCTTTTCAGCGTTACTTTCGTGCACTTGCATGCCGGTAAGTTTCGTAGACGACTTTAGCTCTCCACAAGTCCGATCAGCATACCCTGCTGTACATGCCGAGAAAGAAGGCAAAGAAAGACAGTCCCGGGCAATTTCCGACGATGAGGAGACACAGGACGGGAATCGCAGAAGTGCCGCAAGTACATTGCTGTGACAGCATGTCAGCTGCATTTGATATCCTTTGAACTGGCAAACGTCATGTCATGTAATGCTAACGACGAGCTCGAAATTCTCTGCAGGAGCAGAGCCCAAAAGCTCGAGGCACTTATTTATCTGTGGGACTTTGAGGCTAGATCAGGCAGTCAGTGAGGCGTTTGTGCAAAGACGACAGCCGGAGCAGTCACAGGGGGTTGACAAGCCCATGGCATGCAGAAACGGCAGCCGCAAATTCTGGAGCAGTGCACCATTTGCCTGGAATCACTCACATGCACGAGCTACTCAACACCGCAGTTGGTTGCTCGTCTCAGAGCGAGTGCCGGACTTGTCAGGCTGTGTGCGAAGGATCATCGGTTTTGCAACATCGCTTTTTTTGAGATTATGACTGGGCCCCCTTCCACAGCAGGCGCCTCCCCACCTGCATCAACGAACAAATGCACCAAGGAAATTCCTCCGGTATTGGCAGATGCAGTGGGTGGTATGCAGAGCTCAACGCTATAATGTGTATATAAGAAGATTGCATGCAAGACTTAGCATTCTCCTTCTGCCTTGATGGGTTGGTTTATGTATGAATGCGAGGGATATGTGCAAGACTTTGCACCATGATTCTGCCTTGATGGATTGAAGCATGGTCCTGGCTCAGCCCACATCGTGCCAAAACTTCTCAAAGGTGTGGTTTCTTGGAGTTGGGCGAGTGCACATGGCCGACTGGCTGACACTGTGTTGTAGAACTCAGATGAGAATTGTCACCCATTGAGAGGCGCAAGCAAGACGTTGCTCCGCTTACAAACGTGCCAAGCTCAGTATCGCCTGGGTGAGGTCATGCGAGAACATCTTCTTGGCAAGGCTCCAGGAATCGTGACCTTAGCGTGACGGCTTTCGAAGAATCCCCAAATCCCCAAAAGTGAGAACGCTTGCAGCTGTACCTAAGCTGCTCGTCAGATTCACCGTGATAAGTCGAGGCTCCGCACTTCTGGTGTTGTTCCACAATAGCGAGACTACGGTACCGATTGAGCACAGCTGCAGTGGAACGACATGGGCAACGGCATGCATAAACAAGCAGGGCTTCGGGTGCCCATGCCAGTGTACTAAGCACCTGCAAGCTGTATCCGCCAACCCGCGATCGGATTCGCTTCCATTCCAATTGTCCTTACAGGGCCTCGACCATGATTAACCTGACTGACGGGAGCTCTGCGTCTTCGAGTTCTCGATCCAGGCACAACAGCATTGTTGCGGTCCAGGTCGTTTCGGGTTGCTAAGAGATTTTGCACGGCATGCCGGGACGATCTATTGAATCTATTCTTGGCCCCCAGAGGCCCAAGAAGGTGCCTGGTTGCTGCCCTGTCAGCTGCATGTAGCAGGAGCCGAAAGCTTTGTTCCAGCTTGCATTCTCTCCCTTCTGCGGATCGCAGTACTGCACGAGGGGAGTACAGAGGATTTCTTGTCAATGTGGACGGTTTTGTGCGTTTCGTATTCAAGGGAGGCTCTGATCGGAAGCTATGTTTCCCAGCCCAAAAAAGCATAGACGGAGCATCGCAGATGCATGGGTGATGATGCACGGTCGATGAGCAAAACATTGACAGTGCGTCGACGTGATCAGCAGACGAGACTGCCCTGCTGATACCTAAATGAAATGTTCGGGCAGTCTATGTCAAGACAGCTGTGCCTGGATGTGTCCGCTCAGATTTACCTACATTTGGATCCTCCCCGCCGGGGCACGAACACTCCTGTCAGGTCAGTATCAGCAGCAATCTCAGAGGCCCGACGTGGTAGGGAGATGCAGTAATGAGTATTCAGTATTGATGGGCTAGTACTGTTGTCTTTATCGGATGTCGGCTAGCGCTGCCGTGTCAATTTCGGGACGCAGAATCTGATGCACCGGCCCGCCAGCAACGACCTTGTAGTTGGGTTTCGTGCAGCAGATGCTGGTTGAAGCGGTTGGGTCTGAGGACAGAGAATCATCCTCTAGCTGGTTCTCAAGAGGATGCACTCCCAGCATCTGCCGTGATCTCAGACGTACTTCTGCAAGTCATGCCGTGTCTTGCAGCGGTTCGCTGAAGCTCTTCGGCAACACCATGCATGTTCTAGAACTGATGCCCAATGCCAAATGCCACTCCAACATTGGCCAACGTCATGTTGTCAAGTTGTCACCATGTCATTTCCAGTGCAGCCGCAAGCAGAAGCAGCATAGACTTCACAGTTGTTTCGAAGGCTTACTTTCTTCTCCTCAAGTAGCTCCTGAACACCTTTGTCATGAGATCGAACTCAAGTGTCAGGCAACTCGGATGACGGACGATTCGCCCACCATGTGGTCTTCAGTCGGGCACCATTTTTTTGCGTTCTATTCAGTTTACATAGTCAATTTGACGGACCTTATGGCTGCCCCAGGACGTGCGCAAACAACAAATTGCGAAGAAGCACTGCGAGCGGCCACATACCCAGAGCACACCAGGTTGCTGAATGGATGTCTGCAAAGACGTCAACTTGAGTTTTCAGAGCCGTGGTGAGCTTCGTTACTTTTGACGAGGCAAGAGCCATGGAAGCCGTACGGCTGGACAATGCCAGCATGCCGGTAACTCAGCATATCCAACGGTTTCTTGCAGATTACTCCGCAAAGACGGCGAATTTACTTGTAGGCTTTCAACCGGACAATTCGAGCGCAAGGCAGGATGCAGTACGACGAACGGGACGTTAGCTCGTCTTCTCGGGTCTAGGGACAGGGCACATGCCACGATGCTCACTGCTCAGCTGGACCAACTTCTTCTCAGTTGTATTCTGCCTGTCCTCCGCCCTAAGAACTTCTGCACAGTCTGGTGCCAACCACAGCGGCTGCTTGAGCGATCTTAGTGGAAGGACCAGTCCTGCACGATAGAAGCTGGAACCCTGAATTGTCCACGAAGCTTCAGCTTGCTTGTATTCATGCTTCAAGCTCGAGGGAGGCTGCACAAGAGTGGTTGAAGATGCCCCGCATGCAAAGAGAAATCACCTCGGCTCCCTGGGCCACCTCCAGATTGACGTACTCATGTCTGGGCGGATCTCCAAGACTTTCTTGGCAGCCCATAGCGAAAGAGATGAACTTGGTACTGTCGTGGTGTCTTGAGGTCGGCAGTCTTCTCGATGTGCCATGTGCATATCCTGCTTACAAAACTCGCGCAAGTAATTTCTCGGGCCGTGAGGCAAGCAAAGGAATGTGGACTTTTCATTCTGGTTTCATGTGCAGATAGTTCGTGAGGTTGTCAACGCTACTTCTTGCCCTACTGCTAGACGATTTGCAGGTGACAGTCCTTTGAGTTGGTTGCTTCCACCTGAAGATCCATCTTGAACAGGCGGGGTGCACGGGGTTTGATTTAGCAAGTCTTCTTGATCATGTGGCCTCATCGCTGCATTCGAGGCAAGTGCCAAGCCTGGATACCTGTCCCGCACTGTCAGAGACGGGCTGTTCTGAGTGGCTCTCTGCATGGTCCGGGTCAGGGACACTGAGGATCACATCCCCATGGAGACAGGCTAAGCGACTTTGACAGTCAGTCACGTCTAAGCCCCACCGGTAGTGAACTCCGAGAACTCCGGCCGATCCGAGATGTCAGCCCAACTCTGTCACGTTGAGGAAGCCCGCCGTGTGAGTACATTGCAGATGGAGGTAGCATGACAGGGATGGGGCAGAAGCAGGGGAAGGGCGGGGTTGCAAGGAAGAATTCTTGGAAGGATTGCTTCAGACAGGCGACATTGATTGGAAGACGCGAAACTAGGAAGGAGGGGAGGGGTGTTGAGCTGACCAGCAAAGTCATTGGGGGCCGAAGCGGATTTGATGTTAGGCTGCTTCGGGAATGCTTTGCAAGAGTTGCCGCTGCATCAGGCCTTATCCTGGACAGTGGTTTCTTGTGGTGCGAGTTTTTCTTCATAGATGCCAAATCCGCAGTGTCGCAATACCTCCTACTTGTATGTAGTGTCGCCGATGTAAAACTGCAGACACTCGGCCAGTTCAGCTGCCACAGGCTAGGAACATTACGTGTGAATGATGCATCATGCACTTGCTAGGGCATGTCGTCTACCCCAAGCAAACCGAGACGTAATGCGGTCTGAAGCACAGGGAGACGTGCGTTCTTGTGGCAGAATGCTGGCTATGTTAGTCGAAACATTCCCCTACAGCAATCTCAGCAACGATTGCATTTTCGCGCAGCTAGAGTTGCTTCGGTCAAGACGGATGATGAGATACGCGATGCACAAAGTTTAGGTTTGTGTTGTGAGTCTGCACGCTGCAGAGCAGTTTGTCTACTTGGCGACCTCCAATTTTAGCTGCAACGTTTACCCTGCGTTCTTTCCTTACGATGGCCTTGGGATCGGTAATTTCGTGGAAGTCCACGGAAGCATGGCTCACTTTCACTTCTTTTTGAGACATGTACTGTTGCGCCTTCGAGCTGCATCTTCCAACAGTGTTCCATATCTGTTTCATCCGGTGTAACGACAAACCTGAGAAGAGAGAGCCAAGCTTTGAATCTTTACTAGTTTCTGCGCTTGATTCCTGACAAGGCAAGGCAAGTGCTTGCGTAAAGCCATTGCACAAAACTACTTTGGCGACTGTACTCCGGCACTCCGAAAGCATGCGGTGACATGTGGCTTGCAGCAAACTTCCAGTGGATTGTGTTGCTGGCATTTATTTCGCTCGGGTCCTGTACGAGCGCAGCACTGTCTCTGGTGTGGCGCCCCTCGCCAGCCAGCAGTGTTTTCTTTTGCCTCCTTTTAACATTTCCGGGAAACAGCAGCCCTGCCGCGCAGTGCACTGCTGTACATGCTCGCAAGGCATGCCGCAGTTCAATTTTCCGAGACTGGCGAGCTGCACCACGACGCATCACGACACTACTCGTAGCAATAGTTTCAGTTGTTCCGATTCGCGCATGATGGCAGTTTTCCAACAAAGTTTGGCGATAGGAAGCCAGTCAGTGTGACAGCTGCCTCTGTGTACGTGTGGGATGTCAGCTTGGTCCCCACAACGACGCAACAGCGGGTGGCCAAACGCCGTCGTGTGTGTTTGTGTGAGCTTGTCGCTTCTGTGTAGGCTGGTTCGCTTGCAATGAAACTTTTCTGCGAAGCCGTGCGTGGATCACAGCTTAGAGCCCCCAGACAGCCCAGCCGGTTCGCTCCTTGGGTTTGCTTCGTGGGTACGTGTTCAGTAAGCTTTCTGTCTCGCGGCAGCGACCTCAGAATAGCATGGGACGGTCTTGATTGCGCGATGAGAAAGGCCCCGACGTTTTCCACGCCGACGCTGTCCTACCAGTGTCTTCGCAGCCTTGATGCTGCGTGTCTCCGTTGCGAGACGCTTTGCTCGGAAGATCGGAGGCGAACGGTTTGGAGTCAATGTTTCGGAGAGTTTCGGAAGACGAAGAAGACAGGGAGGCGAAAAGTGGTTGCGGGCAGCTTCAATGCAGAAGCCATGTATGCCTTTCGTAAATGGGTTTGTTTTGCCGGTAGTGCTTGCCAGCTGCAAAACCGGTGGCGGCCTCGGCGACGAAAGCGCCAACGCCGATTGCAGACGACTGGCAGGAGGCCGGGCCTGCGGGTGTGAGCCGAGACACAACGCGTTTATCTGGGCCCATCGGCCCATCCTTGGAAAGCTCCCGACGGGTCCCGAGGTCCAAGACTCGAGCGGCGGCTCCTATTGGTGGAACAAGCGAACGAACGAGGCTGGCTCAAAGTCTCCGCAATTCTGCCACTATGCAAAGAAGCCCGAACTTGTCGCCGGCCCCCAACAAAGGCAGAGAGACAGAAATTGTACAGCCGAGCCTGCCGGGGCGAGGCCCTTGCGGGGTGGTGAAAACCCTGTGGACTGCAGGTGCGCGTGCGCGCGCGGAGGGGGGGCGTCCGCCTTCCTCTCCTGTCCTGGTAGAGAGAGAGAGAGAGAGACAGAAACTTGACGTCTTTGGGAGTATTATGTTCGTTCCTCACACCCCTATCCTGCATTAAAACAATGCGGGTGGGCCTGTGGCCCGGGGGTCTTGACCGACCCTCATGCCCGGGAGAGAGAGAGAGAGAGACAGAAATTGTATGACGACGTGTGACAGGGAACTTCGCTCAATAGCTATGAGCTGAAGTAGAGACTGTGACGGAATGTGCATCGTGTCAGCAACGTCAGCATGGCAGAGTGACACTTTCAAACTGTTTGCCAGACTACTGCCGTGGGTGCTGCAAAACCGGGGCCGGACCAATGGCAGCAGGTGGCCCATCCGCATTCTTGCCGTTTCTAGGCGCTTCTACGTTCGGGAGCTACCGACATCATCCGACATCACTTTCGAGCTGCAGACCCGTCGATGGTTCCTTAGGGCCTGGTTCAATGGCATTTCTCCCAGTCGCGTGCCTTAGGGATACCAAGCCCAAAAGTCGAGTGCCAAGTCGAGCACCGCCTCGAGCGAAAATGCGCCAAAAAGCCCCAGCGATGCAAGCATGGCACGGGTTCGAGCACCGATCCAAGCACCCATGGCACTTGCCATTCTAGCGCCATAGCACGATTAAGCCACCACAGCGTGCAGAGTCACCATCTCCGGCCCGCCAATCTCCTATATCTGTTGCAGATTTCAATGGTTTGTATTGTTTTATTTTTTCGCACCCACCATCTCCGTTTCGGGTTTCCTCTCATACGTTGGAGTTGCTTACTGATGCCTTCTGCATTCTGCAGGTTTCTACTACTTATCTACCGTTTCGGGTTAGGGTGTTTAGGTTTTTGCACCCCCGTCTCCTTTGTGGGCTTTGGGCGCGGTGCCCGTTTGCCGCATCCATCCGTTCGCTCACCACAAGGTTTCCTCTCGTTTGACCCCGAATTCTCAAAGGCCTCTAGCATTTTCTAACATCCTCTAACCAAGCCTAGACACCACTGGACCAGCTCCTTCCATGCTCTTTCGCTTGCAAAGTTTTGTAGCGTTCTCGTGCCGTCGACCCTGGGTCTGTACAGCTGTGGAGATTTGTGGGGTCACAGGGAAGCCTGCCGTTGCAAGCTGAGGTGAAGGATCCTTCTTCCGGACAAAGCTATTGGTGGAATAAAGAGACGAATCAGGTCCCTCCGTGTTTCATTTGCTTCGGTCCAATGGGCATGCTTCTTGCGACGGTCGCGAGCGCAGCCCTTCCTGTTACCGGGAAGCCTGAACGGCTGAGAGTTGCCAACCGGCCGAATCACAGCATGGCCGATGTCTGGTATACCATGAAAGTTGAGGCCTTGAGTTCATTCAGGCAAAGCCGCAGCCCAAAAACGAGTGCAAGCAGTGCAGATACCCAGTACCAATAAGGGACAGGCCCCCAACTTTGAGCTCCTCGTGGTATCTTCTTGGCACCGTACAGCCGTGCAGACGACAGCCGTGGGCGCGCCGAAGCCCAGCGCCGTTGCTCCGCAGCCGGAGGCCAGGTGGCGCCAGGTGCCGACGCGCCGAAGCCCAGCGCTTCTGTGCCTGTCAGCTCTCGCCAGGCAGGCGTGCCTGTCAGGGCCCGAGCTGCCCAGTGACCAGTGGTGAAACGACACCGCGAGATTTGAGCTGTTTCTAGGCGGCCGGGGGGCTTGGCGGTGGCTTGCGGGGTGCACTGATGGATGGTGCGCCCTGCTCTGTGTGGAGCTATTCAAGAGTTTTCTCAAATTTTCTCAAGCGGCTACTTGCCTGTGCAGGCTTAGCATGGGGCGTTGGTACGTCTGTCGCCAGCCGGATGATGGACCCTGGCACAGCACCGCAACAGTGTCAAAAATGGGCTGCGCAGTTCTTGGAGTCTGATGCTGTGTGGTGTGCGAGGACGGCATCCTGGGCCCGCGGCAAATGGAAGTAGTGCACAGGCAGGCGCTGCATCGCTGCAAGTGTTCACGAACTTCATCTATGCGCATGGCAAAGTCTCAGTGGACTAGCAAGTTGTTTGGAGTTGCAAACATGCGCGACAAAGCGAGCTGTGCAAACCCCTTGTACTCCTGAAGAAGCAAACAGACAGATAGGTACACACACACACACAAAAAGAAGTTAGTACTAAGATGTACTAAGGTTCAATACCTAACTACAAGTTCATGAAGTTCAGCATACATACATACATACATACATACATACATACATGCATACATACATACATACATGCATACACGCATACACGCAAACATGCTTACATACCTACCTACCTACCTACCTACCTACCTACCTACCTACCTACCTACCTACCTACCTACCTACCTACCTACCTACCTACCTACCTACCTACCTACCCACTTACCTACCTAACCTTACCTACCTACCTACCTACCTACCTACCTACCTACCTACCTACCTACATACATACAGCAGAAATGAAGCAAGCGAGTAACTGAGTGAGACGTTAGGATGTACGGACGTATGTATGCTTGTCTGTCTTTCTTTGTATTGTTTCGTTGTGGTTTGCTTGTTTTTGCTTTATGTTGTTTGTTTGTTGGTTTGTATGCACGCATACACGTACATGTTCTAGATTCCTGTTGGGGGTTGTTTCTGGTGATGTCGCGCACAAGGCAATCGTGCACGAATCTGCTTCTCATTGATTGCGGCCCCGGAGGAATGAGGATGGAGGCTCGGCGCCGTCCGGCGGTGATGTCGTCAGCTCGGCACACTGCCACGAAGCACTCGCAGTGGTATTCCAAGACTTGGTTTGGGGAAAAGCAGAGACTCAAAACAGCTTTCTTGTCGCGACCAGGGTACCTACTAGTAATTGCGAATGCTCTCAGAAGATCTCTGCAGTAGTGCAGCTGCATCTGTTTCTGATCACCCAGCATGCTGGTCACAGAGGCCGCATCACCTCCTCCTCCAGGATCTGCAGGAGACTCGGGAGGCCTGCCTCGATGTGCACAGTTTCAAGCTGCTACAGTTGATCCTTAAACGTGGATACCGACACGGGCTTCGTATTTTGCACTAAGTTCCAGTTGCTTCGACGGTGTGTCGCATGGCTTGCATGGCCTGCCCACCTTGGGCCCCCTTCTGCCTGCCCTCGCTCGTCCAGGGTGGTCCTGGGACGATGCTGGCTCCAGTGGCTCCGGAAGGAGCCTGAGAGGGAATGCAGATTGAGAAGAGGATGGATGGGTGGCTGCTGCACATTACTGTACGGCAGCAGTCTTCCATACAGCCATCGGTTGCAAACTCAGCCGATTCAATGGAAAACGTTGTAGTGGCCTCAAGAGCCGACAAGCATGCCACTCACGAATGTGTACCATGGCCTCTTCTCTGCCGCCTCCCATCCGCTGAGTGTACTGTTGCAGTTACCGGTGTTCCAGGCGTCTCCCGCCATTGTGATGCGGCATTACCGTTTTTCTCCCGGCAGTCCTGCTTTCACTCGTGTTCTCGGTGAAGTGCAGAAGATGGTGCGAGCACTGGCAAATCAGCACTGGCTGCTATGGGTCGCTCTCGAGTTTCTGGGTTACTACAGAGTTGCAGGGAAGGATAACGAGAGTTGCCCCAAACACAACCCTAAAGTATCTCTACGTAGCCGTAACCACCGTAATCCTCGGGGTAGCCGCACGTGCACAGGCCCAAACACAGCAGGTGAACTGAACGAGAAGGCAGTATATCTTGCCTGTCCGAGCGCTAAATCCTTCTACAATGTAGTTGTCAGTTTAGAAATACGAGACGTGGCATGTCTTTCTTGCTGAGGCAACGATGAGGAAGGTGGCGGATGGCCGCTCCATCATGTCTGCTGAATATTTTGAGTGCTGGGGCCTCTCGATGCTAGGTCGTAGTAATTGTCGAAACTGCCCTTTTCCAGCCGTTGTGCACAGGTAGCTGACCGCTCGCCGCACGCCAGGATGGCTCCCAGCTGTGAGCACGTGGTAAAACGGCCGTGTGGGGCCGGCATCTTTTTCTGGTCGGTTGGGTTTTCTTGTGGTAGCGGAGCTCCGATACGGGGCTCCGGTAGTTGGGTTTTAGGGTGGTCCTTCGGAGTGAAGGTTTGGTCTTTGGAAGTTTGGTGTAGTGGCCAGGATAGTCCTTCAGCCATGAGTACCTACGTGCAAGATGCTGGGGGCCGCGAGTGGGAGCGAGTGGAAGATGATGATGTGTTGTCTTCGGTGACCGAGTTGCCAGAGAACCAGAGTGGGACAATCTCCCTCACTCCGGTTCATCGAGAGGACCGCAGCGTGAGGCTGGAGCAGTGGAGCCCCTCAGTGGATGGGTCATTGAGTGGTGGCCGGGTCTCCCGGGGAACGCCTGCGAGGATGAGAGAGCTAGAGCCCGAGAACTGGGAGGAGATGTCTGAGCCTCCCCTGCGAGAGGAAGCTAGCCAAAGCTCATGGGAATGGTCGTGGCACTCTTGGGGAAGCTCGTGGCACGACGACCCATGGGCGGACCACTTGAATACCACTCGTCCTGGCTGGAACCGACGCTACGCCAACTGGGATGCACCCTCGGAGGAGCATCGCTGGAGCAGCTACTCCCCCGAGAATGAGGACGTTCCTCTTCCCCGGCTACTTGCGAGAAATGAGAACGAGGACAAGGGTTGGCGACGAGGTGCGTCGGGGAACAGAGCCCGATATGAAACCATGGAAAGTACTGCGCAACAGGAACGAGATGGAGAGGGCCGTTACGTTGGACGAGATGATCGTCGCCGAGGCCTACGTGACGATCCACCGCAAGGTCTACATGACGATCCGCCGCAAGGCCTACGTGACGATCAGCCGCAAGGTCTACGTGACGATCAGCCGCAAGGTCTACGTAACGATCAGCCGCAAGGTCTACGTAACGATCAGCCCAGAGGTCTACATGACGATCAGCCCAGAGGTCTATGTGACGATCAGCCCAGAGGTCTACGTGATGATCAGCCCAGAGGTCTACGTGACGATCAGCCCAGAGGTCTACGTGACGATCAGCCGCAAGGTCTTCCCGACAAGGGTGAGCAGGGACAGTATATGAAGCTGCATTCGTCGTTCCCTCCGGAGTTCAAGGCACGCCCAGGAGAGTCGTGGAAGGACTATTGGCGGTCAGTGGAGTTCTGGATGGCATCAGAAGGCCTGAATCTTCCGCCAGCAGTTCGAGGGTCACGAGTCATGCAGCAGATGAAGGAGAGAGCTGCAAAGATAGTGGCCCACTTGTCAGTGACAGACGTTACGGGTCCCAACGGCGTGGAGCTGATCCGCCAGGAGATGGAGAAGAGCCCTATCATCCGCCTCCTCGAGCACAAGGAGGTGGACAAGAAAAGGCAGAAGTTCATGAAGCTCAGCCGGTACCCGCGGGAGTCCCTGGAGTCGTTCATCAATCGCGCCTCGAGCTACCGTCATGAAAACGATTCGTGTCAGAACTATCGGGTGGGCACGAAGTTCTACTTGGGCCACCTGATGGACGCGGCGAAGCTCACGAAGAAGGACGAGGCGATGATAAAGACGACAGCTGGAGGACTGCATGAGGAGGCCCGGGTGATAAACGCGATGCTGGAGCTGGCCGAGCAGTTGGAGGGCCAGCCAGGCTTTCCAATAGGAAAGGGAGAACCGGACCTCCCCGACGAGGACCGCTACTTGGTGCAGAAGGACAAGCGCGAGGGCGGCACGGGCTGGGCCAAGCGTGAAGAGCGGTCCCGTTCAGGAGGACGGGGCGACCGGCGAGGACATGGCTACAAGGGGCACCGCATGAAGAAGCTTCGTCAAGTGTTTCATGCGATCCTGGAGGACGACGAGGACTCGGCGTCGGAGGGGACTTCGCCTTCACAGCAGGGATCCGACGATGAGGTCTCTCAGGAGAATGCCGAGGAAGAGTCCCCGGGCGAGGCGAGCCAAGGCGAGATGGTCATGCCAGCCGAGGTTTATGCCCAGGAGTATAAGGCCAAGCGGAAGGTGAACGAGCTGAAGCAGATGAGACAGTTCTTTCGCAAAGGGAACTCAGAAAAGACTCGTGCGTGGGTCCGGGAGCAGCAGAAGAAGGAGCCCTGCTTCTTGTGCGATAAGCTGGGCCACTGGAGTCAGGATTGCCCTTTGAGGCAAAAGGGCGGAGGGCAACGAGGTCCCCATGCTGTCCACGTCACCGTTGGCAGCTCCGTGCCGGACCCGGGACAATGGAGCTTGCTCGAGACCGTCGCGGAATATACGGAGAGCGCGCTTCGAGAGGATGAGAGTTCGGTGGTTGTTTATAGATGCCCCACCTCACAACCAACCTGTGGTAGATCATGAAGTCTTTTGGTCTATGAGTAGTAGTTTTCACCGGGGAGGGCGGGCATAAGGTAATCGGGATGCTGGGTGCTTCTTCACCATCTAAATCCTATCCGAACCCCAAACCCAAAACCCTGTGCGAGCCCAAAAACCAGAACGCCTAACTGCTGGGCCCAAGCCCTCAAGACCCCAACCCTAAAGGCGTGCGGCTTTGTATGGCTTGAGTTGCTTTGAGATCGGTTTGAGGTCGGTTTGAGCTCGATGTGAAGTGAATCGTGTGGGAAGTTAGATTGTTTGTGGGCACAGCTGGTGCGTCTCATGAGCCTCGCATCCAGCTCCAGTCTTAGGGACTTAGGGTCTGAGAATTTGGGTTTTAGTAAGCAGAGGCGGTCCTATCTTTCTCTGATATATGATCATATACAAA